ATGGTGAGATTATGGATGATGAGCATGTTTTAGTAGTTTTCCCCAATTTATTTGATGCACTAGGGCTTATGGAAATTCTGCCCAAATGGTTGTATGATGTTTATATGATGCAATTGAGGTTCATATGGTGTTGTGGTAGTGATTGGACCAAGAAATTAAGGAAAGATTCACTAGAAACTCAAAATTTCCAAAATCTGGAAAATGGTCCCAACATTCTGTCCGAATTTTTATCTATATGTTAGAGGCTGTTTTGGCCTTAGGTCAAAGAATAAAAGTTGTATAGAATGGCATTTTATAGGTGCCTACAAAATTTCAACTCAATCGGAGCAACGTAGGACGTGGAAAGTCCAAAATACCCCTACTGTTCTAAGTATTTCCCAGCAGTCCGTTTCTTCAGTTCAGTCCAGTTTATCACGATTTTTGACCAGGATCCATTCTGTTTTAGCTCTGGACCAAAACATGAAAGTTGTAGTGTTCTGAAGTAGCTTTAAAATGCCTCAAAGAAAACTTGATTCGGACTTGTGTACACTGAGTTATGTCCATTACAGTGTTCTGCGTTTAAACAGCCGGTGAATTGGTTTCTGGTTTAGTAATCTGAGATTTTAACTAAGTTACATTAGGAAATGGACTAAGTGACCTTCATGAATGTTGTAGCTTTGTGTCTTAGCTTCGAAACGGCATAGGTTTCGCCTTAATCCGATAAGCGTAGCCTCGGATAAGATATTTCCGCTTTTATACGTCAAATCTGTCTTGTGCCACATTGAATTTCTGCACTTGTCCTTAATACGATTCTTGTTATTATGATATTGTGAGCCTATGGAATGGCTCTTGACATAAATTGCTGATATGTATGATGTTGGGTGGTGTTGAAGAAAAATAATGAAGCCTAAATGGCTGGAAAATTAGGTAAACACAAAGGGCATGCTGCCCAAATTTACGCTCGAAGACTAGAGAACTACTTGCAACTCGAGTATGGGTTAAGAGTGATTACTGCTTGAACCATCTAGGGTACTTGAGTCTGCGTGTTCCGAGGTATATAAGTAAGGACTTGGCCGAACTTGTACCCTTGAGAAATGCAATCATGATTGCTCGAAGTATGTTTTCCTTGTATTTTCCACTCGCATGACGATTTTAAGTATAAAAGTTATAAAGTTTTACCGTTTAAAAAGTGAGCAAGTGTTTCACGACTACCATCCAAGTGAATTCCAATTTCTTGAATTTTATTGAACGAAACGTTTAAGTTTCGAATCTAAGTCATGTTTCAAAGTTCTCAAACTGAGTTTTATCGCAGATTTGGACTCCGAACCCGGAGTATAACCTGAAAGTGACCAGTAAAGGCACTATATCTTTTGGTGAGTGCTTTCAAATACCGAATTGCACTAGATACTTGAACTTGATACATGACTAATATGAGTACATGTTATATACGTGAATTGATAGGGCAAGAGTGTACTTTATCGCACTTGCCCTTACGTGATATACTTATTTATTGTTGCAATTGACTTGATATACTTGTTTATGATGCGCGCACTTCCTGGAATTCCAGAAACCCTGTGGCGAGTTACTCTAGTCGAGCCGGCAAGGGCTTGGTCGATTGGGTAACGAACCCTGGGTCTCTTGTATTGTCGAGTGGAGTGATATCTCCTCGACTAATCGGTATACTCGAGTATTACCACCCGTGTTTATTGAGGATTTTGGGCCCAGCTGGGGGTTTGAACGGTGGACGGAGAGTCGTGTAAGTGGTGTTCTACTGGATTGGTTACTTACTTGAAAGTTGACGGAGTGTCAACTACTACGGGATCAAGCTTCTGGTAATGCCATGGGAATTTGGCTCCTGAGAGTCATCCGTATCCTTATACTTTGGAGTGATTATTGTTTTTTGGATTATTGTTTCTTTTGAAAAATTTCTACATTCGCTCATTTTAAGATTGCTACTTGACATGTTACTGTTCACATTTATGAACTCCTTATACTCGTTACTTTGCTATATCGAAAACTCGTACTTATAAATAATGGTCAATTTGTTATTTGGAACCTCACTGGGCTTTTAGCTCATTCCACTCCATTTGTTTTCCTTTCAGGGGTACGAGCGAGGTGTGAGATATGTAAAGTCTAGCATAGACTAGTTGTTTGATTTTTGACTTGTACTCGCACTATTTCTCGGATGGAACATGTTGTACTGGGATTGTATACGTTTTGAACTAGTTTGATGTATTAAGACTTTGTACCTCGATTCCTATCAATGTAAATTATAAGTTTGAATTGTGAATATTATTTATGGTTCATGGACGTGGGTATATGATTCGATTGAGATAGTGAGTGAGTCCTGGCGAGAGCTGGGCAGGCGGTCCGCCGAACCCTTTGGTACGCCTTAGGGGGAGGTGGGGTCGTCACATAGACTAAGGAGCCAAGAGTTGGCAAGGATCTAGAATCCAGTTTAGATGTTAAAGAAAAGTGGATCCATGATTAGAAGAAAAGATGACCTTAAGTGTTAAGGTGAGTTTGCGTTGAGTATTAATGTGGGATCGAAGAGGGGTTTATAAATTTAGATTTAATGTGAGCGATTACTCATAAATGGGGAGATTTGTTAGATTCATAAATAAAGAATTATGTCCTACATTGGTCCGAAAGATAGAGAAAAAACGATTAATATATAAGTAAGGGCACAAAACCTAGTGGATTAAGCTTTTGGGTCAGAATTGGGTTTCTGGCTTACATATTGAATTCTTTGATGGGCACTCTCGAGACGTTTTCTCCCCAAGAAAGTGAATACATGAAAACATTTAAAGAAGAAAGACACATATAAAGATAGCACATTCCCACATGTTTTCATATATTTATAAACACACACACATAAATATACTAGTAATAGTTCACGTGCAAATATACTAGTAATAGTTCACGTGCTTTGCACGTGATTGTAATATCTTAAAATATATTATTTTTCAAACACTAAAATTTTTTATGAAATTTTGATCAACAACGTCATAATATAGTATTTTTATGTTATTTATTTTTTTAAGCTAGTTACTTTTAAAAATTTTATGAAATGAAAAGAGGCAGAAAACATTCCAATGTAGTTGACATATCTCTCAGGATTGAATTTGAAATCATGAACCAAATACCTTTTGATTTATAGCTTGAACTCTAACATATCAAATATTGATAATATCATGTTTTACCAAAATTATTGTATATTCATGACTGTATTTAGTGTATTGCATATAAACCACAATCATCACAATTTTTTATAAACGAAGAATATAATTAAGTTAGAAAAATAAACATTAATGTCATTTGAATTCTTTGTATTATGTTAATTCTATTTTTTGTCAATAATGGAGTATAAATGATCCACTACGTAAAGTTTTTTTTGGCTTGTGCATTCTAATAATTGAAATTTTATAGATAGAGATAGTTGGAGTTTTTTATTTTCCTTTTCTTTTATTCATGTTTTTAGCACAATCCAATGCGAAGCAAGAGCAACAACGAGTCTACTTTTTTCATATGAGCACAATATTTTTTGTTTTAATATTAGTTTTTTTGATGATCATGAAATTGGATGAGAATTGTGGCTAATTAATAATTTTAATATTAATTTTTTGTATTTTGCCGTGTTTTAGTTTTTAATTGCCAACTTTTAATCCACAACCACTATCATTATTATCAATTAGTGGAATGCATTAAATCTGTCTAATTACAACTGTCACCATAAATGAAATTTACTTAATTTTAAAGCTTTTCATTTCATAACTGCTTCTATTCTTCACTAATATTGCAATATAATAAATATATGTAATCATTAGAAAAATAGGGTATTTTGGATATCACCAAAAATTTGGATATCATTTTCATTTTATCATTCTTCATTTTATATTTACTCTTATTATAATTCTTATTTTATCATTAGAGATGGTTTCTGACTTGATGGATGGATTTGGTTTGTTCAAACCAATACAAATGAAGCATTACTATATTATTGTTAATAACAATGTTTGTCTTCCCCTGGATATCAGTGATTTGGATGTTGTCTTTGGTATTACTTGAATTGTATTCTAGCATTTTAATTCATTTGCTATTTACTTTATGTCATTTTATAAATAGTTTTCAATTTTATTTTAGTTTTTCTTGTTTGATCGGTTACTATTAATGATAATAGTTGTTTGTATGGTGCTATTTTAGATTTCTTTTTTCTAGTTTAATATTGCTATTTCAGTTATAAAGGTGTCATCATTTTTTGTATATTGAAATTTCATTGGGTGTAACATGAAAAATTCTTCTTATTGGCAAAAGTGCATAATTGTAAAATTTGCTTGTGATATTTGTGTGAAGATATACAGATGAATAAGGGTTTTCTTGTCATTGTATGTTTCTCCATTTTCTAGAGAGTATTTATTTTTTGAAATTGATTTTTTTAACAATCTCAACTAATGACTAATGAGAAAATTTTCATGCTTCAATTAAGAAATTTTGATACATATAATAATAGGAGATGGAGTCCAAGGGTAGGTAAATAGTTTTTAATGAGAAATTTTTAATTATAATAACCAATACCATTAAAATGTAATCAATTGGAGTGTTTTATTTCTTTTAATTAGTGCCACATTAAAATGTAATAATTCTAATTAAAAGACATGAGGGTAATTTAGGGATAACAAAAACTAAGATAAAAAAGTGCTTACACTTGCACTCCTCCCAATACCAACATTCATACTTTTTATATAGTAATGATAATGATATATACATACATACATACACACACATTTGGCTTGGTCTTCAAAGCTGTTTCTAGATCTCAATGCCAGTGAAACATGGGTTCCATATATAATACAAGTACTGAAGCGAAATTTACAATTTTGTTCCTATGCTATTTCTCTATTGAAAAGTTACAGAATCTAGATCTTTTTCTTTTTTTGGTGTCTCCACTTAATATTTATTGCAAAAAGTTATTGTATGTTTTAACATATCTATCAATTGAGTGTATGGTTCTTTATTGAGGATAAACAGAAGCAAGTTACAATTATATGTATTACTCTTATCTGTGATACAATAAAGGAACAGAAAAGTTTATCTAGCATGACATCAATCTTAGCTGGTTTTAACTTATAAGCATCACATCAATCTTAGCTGCATCAAAGAAGATTTAACAAACTGGGATGATGATATACAAGCATATTGAACCTCGAACTAGAAAAGAACATGAAGAAGATTTCAAAAATTGGGTTCATAAACACTAATAAACATCAAACCAGAAGAGGGCATGGAGAACATTTTACAAATAGATTATGACGGATAATGTTGGACTGATAGAATGCATGACTGTGCTTGCCCCTGCAATGACAAAGTAATACAGCTGCATCAAGTTCAAACCAAATAATCTGGAAGCTCTAAAAATTGCTTCAGTACAAATGAACTATTATGTCATCAAACTGATACAACGTATGTACAGATAAAGAAGAGGCACGAGGAATCAAGAAGAGACGATGAATGCTTGAGTCTTCACCCTTGTCTGGTGTGGTGAGAAGAAAAAGGCTCTCCTGCCGAGGAAACCTGCTGTGAAAGAAGGAATAATTGCAGTACTAGATCAGTTGAATGGAAAGGTATACATATTACCCAACTAAAAAGGTCATCTAGCTTTTCTGATATGTCATTTTGATGAGTTCGAGCAATTAGCCACTTAAAATGGAAGATAAAACATGAAGCTGCATAAAAAAGTTTCAAGAAAAATTTCTTCCTCTAGACTTCCGAAAATATGGCTTAGTGAAGAATAAAAATGTTTGTACTTCAGCATATTTTAGTGAAGGAAGATGCATGTTTTTAGATATTTAAAACTATTCCTATATCTCTATGTCAATGAAACATGCGCTTCAAATGACAATGTTGTGCAAACTATAAAGGTCCTATGGCCTTTCTCTGTTGAAAAGTAACACAAACTGGTTTTTGTCTCTACTTAATATTTGTTGCAAAACCGCTATTGTATGTTTCAACGTATCAATCAATTTAGTTATGGTTTTTTATTGAGGAAAAATAGAAGCAACTTACACTTGTCTGTGTTACTCTTATTTAGATACACAAACAGGGAACAGAAAGACCGTAATTGAAACAGGTAATGCAAGGTAATGTTGGTTTGGTTAATGCATGATTGTGTTTGGCACTGCATTAGATCCAAACAGAAGAATTTGGGAGCCTGCAGAAATTGCTTTGAGATATAAATGAATTAATATAGCATTGAACTGATTCAACATATAAACAGATGAAAGATGGACATGAATCATTATATAATTGAATTGATTCAACATTTGCAAATATAATTTTATCTGACCTGATCAAGTGTGGTGAGAGGAAATCTCCTCTGCCTCTAAGGGAATTGACTCTGCTTGTGAGGAATTCGACTATTCTTTGGAGAGAATGGGTGTATCATCATAACAATCTTCAATTACGATCTTTAGATCCGTATTTCCCAGATCCATCTGTTCTTGCTGAATTTGCTTTACAGAATTTGCAACAGACTCGCGGCACCATTTCACCTCAATCATTTCAAGAGTCTCACATTCCCCTAAACAAGAAGGGACCTCTTCAAGCTTCCTACACTGGTTCACAGCCAATTTCTCAAGACGGAAAAAATTATCAGAAGACTCGGAGGTTAGGGAACTCCCCTTCTTTCATTACCCATTCTTCCCAATAAAGGAGGAATCGTGTAATTTAAGCACTTCAAGATTAGGCAACTTTCCAATTGTTGAAATTTCACCCATGGCTGACCATTCTTTGAGAGAGTCAACTTCTTCAAATTCAACGGGAATTTAAACCCATATCCCTGAAAACCAATCAAATGAAGTGACTCTAGTTGACTCAAACAGTCAAACACAAGAATCTCATCACAATTTCTGGTAGCTTCTCTTGATTCATCATCACTTGATTCGTCATCGATTGATTCGTCATCTCTCATACATTTTAGCCTGCGATGCTTGGTAATTTTTTCAGTAACTTTTGCAAGTTTTGAGACAAGGGATCAATTGCAAGGTTTAACGTGTCCAAATGATCTAAATCTGGGGCTACTTCAAGATTTCCATCTGCAAAAATAAAACCTCTTTTCCAATATATAGTACGTAGATAACTCAATGTCCTAATGTTCCAAATAGTATTTGGCAGCACAATATTACTCTCTGGATGTTTTATGATGAGAGTTACTAACCTTGAGAGGTTGGCTATTGCAGATGGCATTGATGTTATTCTACAGAGAGCCAGGTATCTCAAGTGAACAAGCAATAAAACTTCCATTGGAAATGATTCACCAGAGCCCCAATCCCCCAAATCCAACACTCTAAGAAGCTTAGGTAACAAAATCCTCGAAGGCTTCTCTTCACAGTCAAAAGCATCATATCCAAACAACAGCAAACAGCGTAAATTGGGAAAAATTATCACTAACTCCCAAGTCTTCAATTCCCAGCTACTTTGAACACAAACTCGGTGGTGGCTGCTTGGTTCAGCAAGACTAAAAGGGTCTTCCCAACTTTGAATAATACGTAGAAAACTTTCTTCTTTGGCTTTTTCCACACAAAACTCGCGTACCAAATCATGAAGTTGGCAGGCTTTGGCACCACTCGTAGTTCTTTGGTCGGTAACCATAACTAAACTTCTATTAATCAGAGCCATCAAGTAGTTGTAAGCTGCTTCCTCCAAGCTCTTTTCTTCAGTCTTTTGCACGAATCCTTCAGAGATCCAAAGCCATAACAACCTGCGGACATTAATGACCTCATCTTCTCGAAATGCACCAAAGTATAGAAGGCATGACTTCAAATAATCTGGTAAGTGATTATAACTCAACTCAAGCGTCTTCATGCAATATTCATTGTCAAGGACAGTAGAACTAAGACTTTTTGCAACTTCTTCCCAGCTATCTTGTGCAGTGGTAGCAAGAATTCCAGCAACAAGGACAATTGTAAGGGGTAAGCCCCTACAAGTTTTTGCTATTTGAGATCCAACTTCACTTAATGTTGGAGGACAACCTCCTTTGTCAGATAGCTTTTTCTGCAGCAATGTCCAACTCTCTTCGTCCGTAAGTTGGCGGAGATAGTAAGGCTCAGTATCAGGTTTGAATTTTGAAGACAAATTCTGAAATCTGCTGGTGAAGAGAATCCTGCTTCCATTGGCATCATTTGGCAATGATTTTACCAACAAATTCCATGCCTCAATGTCCCACAAGTCGTCCAAAACAAGGAGATACCTATTTCTCAGCAAAACTTGCTTTAGCTCCTTGGCCAAATCATCTTCATCCTTCTTATGATATTTTTCAGGACTCTCAGAAGAAATACTACACAAAAGCTGAACTAACAAACTACGCATGCTATACATTTGAGAGACATAACACCAGCCACACACATGAAAATGTGACGTAACTGAATCAGCAACATAAACTTTATTGGCTAATGTGGTCTTACCAATCCCAGGCATACCTACAATGGGAACAAAATCCAACTGCTTTGATCCACTCCTAAGTCGATCAATGACAGATTTCACCTTGTCATCGACACCCCCAGATCTTCATTGTGAATGGTGGCAATAAGTTGTGATGGTATGTGAATGGACGTCTTGTTAACTCTCTGGATTTGACCATTTTGGATCTCCAAAGCCTCAATCTTCAGAAGATTGATATCTCTAGCAACAGCATCCAAAGAATCTTCACATTTATCACTAACTAGTGTTGAGTCAATCAATAACTCTGCCTTGTATGCAGCCTCCATAACATGACTCCAAAAAGCTTGGAGTTTTCTATTCTGATAGCGCTGCTCCTTGATATTCACCAGGACATGTCTCAAGAATTCAAGATCTTTTTCGATCCTTTGGATTCTATCCTGTAGAAAAACAATTGAATCATTAGCCTCATCACACCTTGCTAGTTCCTTGAGATTTTTTAGGAAAAAATCCATACAGCCCAACTCATTGGATCTAGGATAATTAAATGATGAATGTGGTGATGTTAGTGGATAATTGTGCGCAAGCTCTGCCATCATATACTTGAGAACTTTGTACAAATGAAACAACACAAGATCTGTTTCCTTGGAAAAACCTTCTTTGATTTCGTTGACAGAAAGGGAGAAGATCAGAGTTCCTGCATCATGGACCACAACTCCAACAAGATCCTTAATTTCATCGCCTAGTTTCTTCTCCTGTTCAAGAAGGATACTCAAGTATTTTACTCCTTGATGGAGTTTTAGCATTTGATCCTTTACCAGAACCTGAAAACTAGCACAATATCCTAGAAGATCCGTAAGATAATCTAGGAGAGAATCAATAAATTCGACTAGCACTCGATGCTCATTTTGCTCAAGGGCTAAAGCATATGATGATCTTAATTGTTTCTTTGAAGCCGTCAGGACATGCATGCAAGTTTCTCGGACTTGGGGACCAAAAGGATCTATATTCTCATCCATCAACTCATAAATTTCAGAGTCCGTTTGACTAGGCGCTTGTTCTTCATCGCTGTCAAAGCAACACTCAAAAATTGCCTGTTCAACCACAACTGCAGCGTGAGTCAAGAGATCTGTCAATTGCGTACACTCAACACCTCGCACTATTGCAAAGCAAATGAGACTCCTTAAAAGCTTTAGCTCGTGTCTCATAGTATTCTCTAACTCAATTAAAGGTTGCCTCAGAGACTCCAAAAGGGATGCAATAAGATCCATAACTAGTTGTGGATCTCCTGGCGGGTAATAGTCGAGGAAGATGACGGTGCATGATTCCATGATATCTGTCTTAAGAAATGACCAAAATCATCCAAGGATCTGGCTATCGCAATAAATACTATTGGCATTCTATCTGACTCATCAGAACCTTCGTATAAAAGATAAGCAGACTGAAGATCATGAACCATCTTAATAACCCTACCTTGAATTCCGAAGCAAATAGCACTATGTGACAAACTTTCAGACAGAATAGTACCCGCTTCTTCCTGATCATGCTGTAAAAGCTCTTTACCCTTGTCCTCCTGATCATGCTCCAAAATCGTTTTACCCGCGTCCTCCTGATCATGCTCCAAAGGCGCTTCACGGTTCCTCCTCCTACACTTCTTGACATACAGAAAAAAGGAATTCAAGAATCTTATGTTTTCCTTCAGATCCGCGATACCGAAGAGCTGGAAATCGACGGACTTCTCAAGCTTGCATAGAAAATCTAAAGCAAGATCAAAGCAACTAGTGCTAGTGCTGGAGGACATGTGATGCGACCGCAGATGGTCATCTAAAGCAAAATCAAAGAAACTGGTGTTACTGCTGCAGGGAATCGCCATTATGGTATCTTCTTTTCCCTCTGGTATCAGACTTCGACCTGGTTTAGCCACTGAATAAATTAGTTCATGATCTACAATTTTCTCATCTAACAAAATAGCCAACAAACAACAGGCAGGACCTTTATTTTTTAACTTTTTGTGTTAATATTGTGAGACGCTATTTTGTTCATAGAAGATATCGTGCAGCAGACGTAATAAAAAGTTACATAAGTGCGACTACACTTCCCCAGCTACTTTAGTGGTGCCAAAAGACAGACGGGTCCTCTGTCCAATTTTCTATGTCCAATTTTCTGTCCAACACAAAACTACGTAGTTCCACTTATTCTTGTGGCTGACGTGGCACATAAAAATAAATGCCTGTTTGGCTCCATTATACTTTTGGATCTCTCTTCTTTTTTGGATTTCCTTTATTTACATATCTTTATTACATCTGAAACAACAATCATCTGGCAGAAGAGAGATTGTTGTTTCAGATGTAATAAAGATATGTAAATAAAGAAAATCCAAAAAAGAAGAGAGATCCAAAAGTATAATGGAGCCAAACAGGCATTTATTTTTATGTGCCACGTCAGCCACAAGAATAAGTGGAACTACGTAGTTTTGTGTTGGACAGAAAATTGGACACAGAAAATTGGACAGAGGATCCCGTCTGGCCAAAAGAAGACCAAGACCAAGATCAACAGATAAGTTATCATTTTTGTCCCTTGACAATAAGGTATTGATCAATATAGTCCTTTGTTAGTGGCCACGCGTGTACCAATTTGGTCGCTTACATTTTTAATGACCAAATTGAATTTTGCAGTCACGGTTCCTCCTCCTCCAACATATTTTCAAGCTCAATTTTGCAGTCACATGACCAGTGAGATTACGACATTCATATGATGGTTTCTACATTAATTATTCTGAATAATTAATTATTCCTCTCAACAATTGTAAGACAAATTATTACACTTAATATAGATAGATTAGAGTTTTTTGAAGTTTAACAACAGAATGGACACATTTAAGTTGTGCTTTTAGCCTTTTACAATAATACTCCCAAAGTATGGTTACTAAATTTCAATGGTTCTTTGATTGTATACTCCCTTTGTCCTATAAACATAGGTCATTTCTTTCCTCATGCAGATTAAAAAATTTAGTTACTGTAGTTATAACAATTATTCTTTGTTCATACTTTCCTCAAATATCCTTTATAAATATTAGATCATTCGTTCAAAGTAAGAGGCTGTATTACTATATTATTTTTGGAATTTAGAGTACTTTAGTTTCTTAATGCAAGAGTCAATCTAATTAATGTTACATGTTTGACTAAAATGAATAACAAAAATAAAATTGCCAAACAATCAAACATGTTAATTTGGAGCCATTAGAAGGCAACTAATATATTCAAAAATTTATAATAATTATGTACATTAAATATGGGCATGTTAGTAAAACAACAAACTAACTACTCTTTAAAAAGGCAATAGGCCTATAATCTGGGACAGGCACAAAGGAAAGTGAACCTATTATTATGGGATAGAGGAAGTATTAAATACTGAGCTTTTGTTAAAAAAAAATCCCAAGTTTTTCTCCTCCTCTTTTACTATTTTTTTTCCTTCAACTGCTTTAACAAATTATCTATTGCCTAGTTTTTCTTGGAATTTGAACTTTGACTTCCTCAATAAAATTCCGCCTTGATCTCCAAATATAATTGCTTAAATGTTGGAGAAATAATTATGATCTCCCCTGAAATTTATCGTCTCTTTTATCAATTGAATTAGTTTATGCATCTTTCCTTTTGCCTATGTGTAAAGGCACAAAAGTTTCTGTTCTTTTTCTTTCACTTCTTTGTTGAATTTTATTTCATTTTTATAGTAGAACTGAAAAGATTCTCGAAATAAAGTCAAAAGGGACAAACAGTCAACGTAAAATAAATTTGCATGTAGCACGAGATAGTTCTTGGTTGAATAAATGCCTACTTTGGGTTTTGTACTTAATATAAATGAAATAAGGAAAAATTGTTCAAAACATCCCTCATATTTTGTTAAATGAATTTTTTTGTTTTTTACTTTTAAAATGTTATTTTTACATCTTTACAAATTTAAATTAGCAAAATTTAGTTCCAGTGGCGACTTCTGGTTGCGGCCTTAGGAGGGGTCTAGGGGTGAGGGAAGGGAGGGGAGGAGGCAGGAGGGTGAGAAGGAAGGAGAAGAAGGAGAGGGAGGAGGAGGGAGGAAAGAGGAGGAGAGAGAAGGCAGAGGAAAAAGGAAGAGGGGAGAGGGTATGAAAGGGAAAGAGAGGAGAGAGAAGGGAGCAGAAGGTGGGGGGGGGTGGGTAGTGTAAACTTTTAAAAAATACCAAAAAAATTATAAATTATAAAAATATTCCAAAATACTTTAAAAAAACCTCCTAAAAATATCTCTAAAAACACCCTTAAAAACATTTACACTAAAGTTTTATATATATATACAGGTATAGTAAAAATTTTTAAAAAAATATCCACAAAAATAACTAATTCAAAAGGAGCCTTTCTTTTTTCAAAACAAATTCCTGAATCGTTAGCTAGCTAAAAAGAGATAAAGGAAAAAAAATGTTAGTTGCATGCAGAGCATTGTAAACACTAAGGGAGTTTTCGCTTTTTCCCAATTCCAAATCTTAGTGTTTGGAGTGCAAATTGGCCTGTGGATTAGAGTTCAATTACAATTGTATATGGCCCAGTTTAAAGTATTTTTCTTGAGAGCTTGAAAATCAAAATGTCATGTTCTCTATTTTATTAATCTTCTTGGGATTAAATAAGTTACATTGCACTGAACATCAGGATCACAAGCCTATGGATTTTTATTTTTTTTTAAATTTTTAACATGGCAACTTCTCCAAATTTAAAAACTTGTTAATAAGACTAACATTTTTACTCCTTTTTTCATGTGAGACAATATGATACAGTAAACCATCTAAATCTTTTTTTTCCCTACATCCATGGAGAAATAACAACAACCTAATTGTAAGATAAACACCGTGGAGGTGAAGAAACATATTAATTTCATAGTTGCTCATCATATCATATCACATGAAATGCGTTCACATAATTGCTGCAGTAATTTAAGAATACATGTATTCATATAAAAAATTGATTTATCTAATGCTGAGTCAAATAAAAATGCTGGAATTTCCTCTTATTTCATCC